ATTATTAAAGTAAAGTTCTTGAAGCTTTGAAACTTCGTGCAATGGTAGGCCTTGATGAATAATATTTAAAAATAAAAAAACTGCAAATCGAAAAAAATATGGTTTAACATGGTAGAGTGTTACTTCGTGGTGTCGGTGATGATATGGGACACAAACACACATCGCTGGACCCAGCACCAAGCATTACACACTGCAAAAATATAGCCTAACACCCAGGTTTCAAAGTCCAGATTACCATCAGCCGCAGCCATGTTGTGATAGCTTAAAACACACATGTGTTGCACACTAAAATCACACTTTTTGACAAAAAGTTTTACACAATATAAATAACATCCATGATCTATAGACATAAGCGGATAAACTAAATAATACTAGGTCTATATAATTACCGTATATCCTCCCGAAAATCTTCGTTGAAAAATTCTAAAGGCCAATCGATGTTCTCACCTAGTACGCACTGGGTAAGAGCCAGGGGTCATCAAACTATTATATGAGAGAAAGGGCGCCACCGCACAACGTATAAAATACAGCTTATAAGAACGACTCCTCATAACACTTTCAAAAAAACAAACTAAAGCATTAAGAATACCTTACACTACAATGAAAACTGTCATGTGTGTACGTGTACTGTATAGATTTGTATTTCAGTTTAACATTCAAGTCAAATGTGCACTCGCTATCTTTGGACGTACGTACGTGTACAAAGTACACGTTATTAAAGATTGAATACTTGAATGCTAGTGAGTAATTATCTAATACATTGTGTGAAATCATTGCGCCAGTGTGCTGGCATTTTCCACAGGAACTTTAAATCATTTTCAAAAGATGACTCGGCCAACCATCGCTGGAAAAAAATAGTTTTCTTTTTCAAATACTACACCCAGTTGAACAAATTTAGTTAGTCCATATTTTGTTTAAAATCTGTTACATGCCCGTAAGCAGTCATAAGTCAGCTAGTCTGGTTCCCTGTCCTGACAATTCTCTGACAGCCATACATTGTACCATTTCATCTGAAGGGTTGGGTCAGGGAACCATACAAGAACACTTTTTCCCCCTTTTCTTCCATCCATGAACACTTGTGGATTTAAACAGGTCATTGGAACGATTTTTGCATGAAATTACTAAACTCCAAATCCATCCATTTTTGAAAGTTACAGCAAAAGCAAATAGTGTCAATTTTCTTTAACTGATTCATTTGTTATCTTTCAATTTAGCAAATACACAAATTCATAAGTTTGCAATAGAATCATATTTTCAGTGAGGATCAGTAATAATATTGTAGGTAATTAGCCAACATTAATTAGTAAAGATGCCTGTTCTTTCATTAATATGAAAATCCAAGTTGATGAAAATTTTTTAAAAGCTAATATATCCAATGTGTCTCAATATATTTCTTTACAATAGTCCGTAGGATTAGAGGGCCAAAAACACTTCAGTTTTCGAGATAGTCAATCTGTTCGCCGAGTTTTATCAAACTTTCCAGACATGTACTGGAAATGGTGTACCCTGTCGACAAAACTTTGTTCCCGCGTCCACAATTCTTCATTACAGTTTTGTCCAATTAGAAATGATGAAAGGTTATTTATTAGCTACAAAAAAAATGATCTGTATGTAAAATCCTAAGCAGAATAATTTTGTGAGGTCTTACCTCAGGGTAACATCTTATAAGTTCTGCTCCCACAATTTTGTATTTTGTTTTGAAAAATTTTGTTGAAAAGAAGATTGGCCATCTAATCAGGTTATTTACAGAGTTTCCACTTTTCAGTATCAGTGAGGGGGAAGTGCGGGGAATATAGCTGATAACTTAAAAGGTCTGATTTTGCTTTGTGCAAACGATATGATATTCACAAAAATTGAAAGATCCATCATCTTATAAATGTTGGTAGATTCATGTCCATGTACGTGTAAGTAGCGGCGTACTACAGGGGGCATGACCCCCCATGAAAAATCATCGCCCCCAAGTCGCCCCCCCCCCCTCCCCACTGGAAATTTGGCAACTGGAGAAAAGCACAGTTCTACAAATGTATATAAGTTACCACTATTTTTCCTGAGAACCCCTTTTTTCCCCCAATGGGCTGTTTATTTTGACGTCCCATTGAAAGTGAATAGCGCCACCTATTGTCAAACATTGACTGTGATTTATGTTTTGAATAGGTAGATGGTGTCCAGCCCCTCTCCCTCCCCCCCCCCCCCTCACTTTATGATTTATTGAGGCTGGGTGTGCGGTGAAAACAACCTGTTTACGAAAATAGCCACCCCTCCACTGTAACATCAGACCCCCCACTCCCCCCCCCTCCTCCCCCCCACTCCTCCCCCCCCCCAATATTGGTATAAGAACCATGGCTACGCAGCTGCTTGTAAGTTGTCGTGACATACATGTAAGCCGTCTTGACATAACGTCCTGATATACGTAACCCCGGCTTACGCGTTGCAGTACACGTGGCTTACACGTATGCGTAAAGTTGCGGTCCTCATTTCAGCCAGATTTGGTGTAATCTGAGAAATGCTGTGATCCCTGAAAGACTGCACAATATATGTGCCATTTGGAAAGTGTGTGACACACTCAAATGATTCTGAAAGATGGAAGGATGATATTTGGAGCACTTTCAACGTCAGTCTCGCGAAGGTGGGCTCCGGTAATGTCGCCATCTTGGACTCTCACGGTACGCTAAAAGCATGCAATTTGATTAGCTCTTTTTGAGGCTGTACACCGACCTTGCTTATTGTTCGATTTTCAGCCTCTCTCATTTTCATGTTGTCAAACGAAATGGCTGGACATGTATATCTTCGAATATTAACCTAATAAAGTTTTTGTGTGAAGTCCTAATCAAAACACGAATGCGGGAAAGTGGTTCATTGTCACTTTTTATTTTTCTGCCTTGAAATACAGGATATTAGAAAACCTTCGGCAAACCAGATTGCCTGGAAAGCGGGGAAAAAAATAGCCTTGTCCCACGAACTACAAGTACATCAACTGATATCCAGACCACATATTACACACCCACTCTAGACTGCACTTAATACCAGGCACTAGACCGCCATGTTTGTGGGTCTACCAGAGGCCAAGCAATTTGCTCGTTCCAAACTGGCACTGAACTATTGTGTATGTATACTGTACACAAAAATACCTTGTCTACTACATGTACACATTTATACTGTACATATGTGCTGGTATTTACAAAATACAAAAAAATACCCCATTCGACTCTTCCTGTTTTGTCAATATTTAACCAGAAACACATTTTTAAATGTTTTATCTTAGCTCTGTTTGATGGCAATATTAGATTATGAGGTCCAGCATAAGTCCAATTTGAAATTTTGTAACAATCTACGGTAATAACTTGCCAGGGACAGTTTTGTGACCAGTTGGGATCCTCATGAATATGCATGACATGCTACCGGTATAGTAACTTTACAGACAAGTTTGTGACGCCCAGTCACAAATTTAGTTTCACTTTTGTCGTCATAGGAAGCGGTACGGCAGGTACAGCTATAGCCGTACCATTAATAAAAGGCCTCTTTTTTTCTTTTTTTTACGTAGACAGGGCCTTGCATTGTGTGGAGATGCTGATGAATCAGAGGGTCATCTAGAGCAAGTGCTCTACATAAAAGCTGTAGAAGACCCCAACCGTAAAAAAAGTGGTTGGAGAGAGGAAAGACAAAATACAAGTCCATGCATCCAAAATGAAATCATCAAGGCTTAAAATTCTTCCAGAGATTACCAAAGATCTTCAGGGATCACGTACATACTGAAAGTGTGTATAGGCCCGATATGCTGGACTTGCAGCCCGATGCACAGAGAAAAATTGCTGATCAAATTTTTCATCCCCTGATACGCACAGTAAAATTACAATGTATTGCACATGCCATGAACATGCTATGATTTCATTTTACCATGCAAAATCCTTACCAAAAACGCCTATCATTTCTGATGCTTGTATGATCAAAATGCACATATGCACGACATTGAAGCCGTACCACTGCAAGAGTTCCGTGGGGCTGTGCACTGTACAATAGAATACACTCGATGCATTATTTCAACTTAACTATGCAGCAATGGTAGACTGGGTGGGGGGGGGGGGGGGGTAGTGGAAAATGGGATTTCTCACACTAAAAAACGAATACAAAAAAATATTGACTCCAAACTCAAAAATGATGTTTAAATGATAGCTAAAAACAAAACAGGTTAAAGTGTTCTGAAATTGCCTCAGATCACACCACAGAGGGTCTAAAATCCAAAAATTTTACGGGCCCTTCACTCTTTCAGTGCCCGTGAAATTTGAACAGTTTAACCCTAAAGTGCCCAACTTTGAGCGTTTTTGTTAATTGTTCAAAATTCTCTAAAAAAAAAAGTAAATAAGTTTTACTCACTAAATTTGTTGTTGTTGCTCTCTGGTATATCCTTGGTATATTGGAAAGTCAATAGTAGTGACGTACATAGTGATACACCCTGAAACACTGTCCTGCACACAGGGAAATTCCGCACTTTTAGCAGAAAATACAAGTGTCAGTGCTGCGCCCTCTCGCAAGAACTCGAATGAACAAATAAATACAGGTCATACCTGAATGAAAATGATATTATTAGAAAGAGCGAGAGCACCCCCTTGTGATAACATGCTTACTCTACCTCGTACATGTACAAGGTTTGGCGATTTTAAGTATGAACATAACCTCGTACATGTACGAGGTTGGCAGTTTCGAACTAACAAATATAGGCCTACCTCGTATGTACGACTAGTGTGCTCCGAACCCCACATGGGAATACATGTACCGAGACAGTACATCCAGACACCATAAGGTATATAGATCTACAACATTGCATTTATAGGTATATTTTTACAGTTCAAAAGCTTATGTCCAGCTCTGCACAGATTGTTTTCTCTTATAGTAGTTGAAAAAGATGGGAAAAATGATGACCACAATAAAATCCCCATACCCTCCTCTGTTACTCAAAGAACAGCTTTTAGATTCATAAAGTGATCTTGAACAAGATTCTCAGGGGTTTTCTTTAATCAGTATCCTTGCAACAATATCTCGGTAGAGAAGGTAAAGTACAACCCTGTTCGTTCTTGCAATATTTATTGTAGACAATTCCCACAGAGACCCCAATAAGAACAATCCAGGTGAGGGCAAACAGAACCCAAGGAACTGCACAGTCACATGAGTTCACAGGACACTGGTTCAGTGGAGGTTTGGTTGGAGTTTCTGCAGGCGTTGGGTATGTCTTAGTTTCTTTGACTGGCACTTGTGTTGTCGAGGCTTGATTCATTTGGGCGTGCGTTGTCAGCGCTGGGTTGGTCAGGGCATGGGCTGGCGTTGTCAGTGCCTGAGTTGTCAGCTCGGGTGAGGATTCTTCCGGCAGCATGAGCTCAAAGCTGGTCTGGAGATGCTCCTCAATTGACGGCGAATGAAGACGACAAGTCACATTGTCTCCAGGCATCAGACCGATGATTTCATACACCTCCACATACCATGACCCAGTCTTATTGACACCAAGATAACTTGATGATAACCCCTCTCTGTTACTTTGGCAGTGCATCTTTGTACCACATTTGGATTTGTACTCGCACGCAAACACGTAACTGACAATGTTAGATGCTTGATGACGTTTCATATCAAATCTGCAACTCAGTGTTTCAGCTGGGCAGATTTCTAGCCGGGTTGAGTCTTCCTCTATGACGTGTCCATCAGTTGTCTTGGCAACACAGGTGATGTAGCGATAAATATCCGTTTCTTGGCTGCCTGCTTGGACATTCATCTTCAGGGAGTGATGAGTGGTATTGTAGTATCCTTCCAAACTGCGGAACTCAGGAGGCCGATCAATCCAGTCCAGTTGGACGTTGCAACTATCAGCTTCTTGACATGTGTGGGTGCACAGAATGTGTGTTTTCTGGCCTGCGTGGACTCGAATGACTTTAGGAAGATCTAGTATTCCCCACGCCATGCAGCACAGACTGAGAAGCAGATGTGCTTGCAGGATCACAGTGGTTGCCATTTTGGGGTCTAAATCTTGTGTAGACACTAGTATGAAAAATGTCCTGCTGCATTTACATGCATGTTGTGTAGTATGATCTGTAGAGGTACATGTTTTTTTCTGTGGCCAGACAATGTTCTCTTTCTTTGCTGAAAATAAATCAATTTTAGATCTGTTTATTACACGAACATGCACCGGTAGGCTCTGTACAATGTACATGTACCGGTATGGCGCAATAAAAGGATACCCAGTGTTTCCCCTAAATTGCGAAATCAGCTGCAGTCAGCTGTTGGGTAATGTGGGGAAAAAACCTTATTTTGGAAGGATCAGCAAGGAAATGGTGTGCCCAATGCCACCTGTACGGTAATACCGTCTTTGTGTACGCTGGTACACAATGTACTCAATTGTGTTGTCATTGCACACCAGCACATGCAGGATTTTTCCACTCGGGGAAGTTTTTTCTCTCAACATGTTCAAAGTAAAGTGAAGTTGCAGGTTTATTAAAGGAATATTTCTTCGTTTTGTTTTGTTAGTTTATGAAAAGGTGATTGCCACAAAGTCAGTAGATTCCAGAAAATGTAAATAAATCCACACCATGAGAGGGACTACAAACGTTTTGCATTTTTTGTGTCACCTAAGTGAAGTTTTCGGAGACACTACCGTAGCTAACTAGTACCTGAATCATGACTGTATACCCCTATAGGCCCATATGACCATATCCCACGTATGAGCATATGACTATAGCCTTGGTTGTATATTAAAGTTTTGGGAATCGCTGTCATTTCATAAATATTTGCCCGAATTCCATAAAACTTGGACACAAGGGTCATTGAGTAGCAAAGATGATGTGGGATTTCCGGTCAAATGTCATAGGTCAAAGGTCAACTGAGGTTAATAATGATGTACCGTAATACACAATTTTGTGGGAAAGTTTACAACATTGAACATATGCTGTCGTGGATGTTATTGAAACTGACATACAGTGATTCTTGGGTGGGAAGACACGATTCTTCATCGGAATACTGAGGTCAAAGGTCATGTAGGGGTCATTACAGGTCATTGTTCAAATGTGCTTCAAATATTTCTGTGTCATTTGATGGATTTTAATGTCACTTGGATGGAGTGATCCTTGGGTGGGGGGTTCATCACAAATCTTCCGAAATTGGAGGTCAAAGGTCATCTAGGGGTCATTTGAGGTTGTTGTTTAAAGATGCACAGCATTTAGGGACTGACCACTGAAAAAGGCGGATCACTTGTCTAAAAGCATCAATAGAGTAGGATTTAAAAAAAAAAAGTAGATCATATGTTTAGTTTGCTTCCTAGATTCATCATTGAGGCACAAACTGACAAAACAAGGAATAAAATGTCCAAAATTACAAATGTAGAGTGGTCGGGCAGACAATTATTTCATTAGACATAGCCCAGTTCTAATTAAGTTGTGTATACATGTATCAGAAACAAAGATCAAGAAAGTAAGCTTTTCCAGTGCAACCATTTGGTTTTGTTTTGACAAAAAATTCATCTGTTGGGATGATCAATTTCAGAATACATTTTAGGTACACGTACAAGTGATTTCTGGTTTGATGATGTCATCAGTCAAAAAAGGGAAGGGAATACTGACTTAGTTTGGAGAGGATAACTGTTTATCATGAAGTAAAAATAATGCATGAAAATGTAGAAATTATAAACTTGTGTATACATGTATTAAAGGTAGAGTCCATCATTTGTAATTTGTGCATTTTGTTCGTTTGACGCAACAAAAGTGCTCAAAATCTAAAGAAGGGTGCTGAACAACTAACCTGATGAAGTTTAAGCTCAGTGAATGCTGACTATTCCAAGAAACAGCATTCTAGGTTCTCGATTTCAATCAAAAGTTGCTGAGTCATGTTTTGTATTGCGCCCGAATTTAGCGTCTGGGACACATTCTCATTCAGCCGATTGCATCTACGCGATGCCGCACGTGTGCGTCGTGTCAACACTTGCGAGCTTCACCGATTTAAATATAAACTACTAGCAGAAATTGCCAAGAATGTGTCTTTAGATGCATGGAAATGGCCTTCTTTCATTGATTTCTGAAAAAATGACTGCATGCCAGAAAGATTATTTTCACAGGGAGTTTAGTCCACTTGTTATCTTTAAACTGAATGTAGTTTTCAACAATAATTTCGTCAGTTGCTTTTTGGAAAGCTGCAAGTGATGGACTGTAGCTTTAATAACATCCAACTTCCAGTTTGATGACGTCACAGTATTTGGAAGCAAACAGTCAACATTAGGTGTATTAAAACAGATGTCATTATTTGGGCTAGGAGCAAAGTCATGAGACGGGGATCAAATGATGGATTTAAATTTAAAAAATAAAAAAATTGTCAAATTGGACGTCATGAAACCTTGCCAAATTATTTGTGGTTGCTCACAGAATATATAGGGTCAATTTGGTAAAAATTTGATTGACGGTTTTAAAATTTAAAAAAAGGTAAACTCTTTTTGATGTGCCACTAGAGGCCGCCCTTTCGGAGGATGACATCATCATCCTGTTTTTGTGTTTTGAGCATTCCTCACTTATTACACTTCCATAAGGTATTTTTCTGTAGTAAAATGCTTCTGTTTTTGAGTTTGATTAAATTTCTACTGCTTTTCCAGTAACACATGGGCCAATTTCATAGAGCTGCTTAAGCACAAAATTTGCTTTTAAAGCACAAAAACATCTTGCTTAATAAAATCAGGTTACCGGCCAAAACTCCATGCGATTGTTATGCTAAGTAAACAACAGCTTAATACCAGTCACAAGCAATGTACATCACATGGAGTTTTGGCCGGTAACCTAATTTTACTATGCAATGTTTTTTCGTGCTTAAGCAAATTTTCTGCTTAAGCAGCTCTATGAAATTGGGTCCAAAAGTGAAGATTTATAAGCGGTTTTGTGCCCGGTAATTTTTTTGTTTTTGTTTTATTTCCATCAAAACCTCCATAAAAAGGAGAGGATAACGTACAACAGCAATATGTATAAAAGTAAGTCAAAATACAGCAACATACATGCTAAAAAACAACAGCATTTAAGTTATCATCAGGATAACCCTGACACTCAATATGCTCAAGGGCGGCCACCCAGATCATCCAGACAAACAAAACAGGTTGTCGAAACGACCTGAGCAGTCAACCAAGAGTGCCAAGATCATCACAATCGAGAAATTGGTTACGATGTAAAACTGTTTTGAATGCGTCTTGAACGGTGTGATAAATTTCAGTAAACATTCTACGTACACATACAAGTTATTTCTGGCTTGATAATGTCATTAGTCAAAACAGGAGGTGAATACTGATTTGATTACTTTGTTCAAGAGTTATATATAAATGTAATTGGTCACTTTTTCAGCTAAAATTGCTTGTTATTTGACACCCGATGATGTCATAATGACGTCAGAGTAATATGCACCACTTGAGATGAGGGTCGATACATTGAAAGTTACAAGTTCATATCATAAACTGTTTAGGAGAAAACCCGCGGAAACGTGCTGTGCAGAAAAAAAGAAAGAAAGAAAGATTAATCGTAACAACTCCAAAGAGTGGTTGGGTTGTGCCCGACCACTCAATAATTGGGTATATTCAGTCGGGGGGTGTGTGATCAGACTAGTCAGTGTTTGGTAAGAAGACATTCACATAAACGTGAACGAAGACTGGCGAAATTTGCATGATTGTACTCATTTTGCCAAATTGAATATTTCATCAGATGCAAATTTGCATAATGCTTCAAAGTATAGTACACACTAGCACAAAGAAAGTTTGTCAGGTTATTGAGAAAGATTTTTACAGTTCAAAAGCTGATTTCCAGCTCTGCACAGATTTGTTTCTCTTTAGTAGATGAAAATTATGAAAAAAGATGACCACAATACATTCCCCATACCTTTCTCTGTTACTAATCAAAGAGCAGCTTTTAGATTCAGTCTTGGACAAAACTGACAACTGTGGTTTTCTTTAATCGGTATCCTTGCAAACGTACCGGTACCTTGGTAGAATGTCAAAAGTACGTTCCTGTTTGTTCTTGCATTTTTTCTCGTAGACAATTCCCACACAGACCCCAATCAGAACAGTCAAGGTGAGGGCAACAGAACCCAAGGAACTGCAGGCATTGAGTTTGGCTTAGTTTCTTTGTCCGGCACTTTCGTTGTCATCACTGGGTTGGTCCGGGCTTGCGTGGTCGATGTTTGGGTTGTCTGTGCGGGAGGGGATTCCTCCGGCAGCGTGAGCTCAACCGTTGTCTGGAGATGCTCCTCAATTGAAGGCGAATGAAGACGACAAGTCACATTGTCTCCTGGCTTCGGACCGACGGTTTCATACAGCTTTACATACCATGTATCGAGATTAAAAACAAGATAGCTTGATGAGGACTCCTCTCTGGTTCCATGACAGCGCAGTGCTGTACCACATGTGGAGCCGTACTCACACGCAAACACGTAACTGACAATGTTCGATGATGCGTAGTGATGTTCCGCATGAAGTCTGCACCTCAGTATTTCAACAGGGCAGATTTCTAGCCGGGTTGAATTTTCCTCGAAGACGTACCCGTCAGTTGTCGTGGCAACACAGGTGATGTAGCGATAAGTATCCCTTTGTTGGCTGCCTGCTTCGACGTTCATCTTCAGTGAGTGATGCGTGGCGTTGTCATACCTTTCTAAACTGCGGAACTCAGGAGGCTGATCCTTCCAAGCCAGTGTGACATTACAACTATCGGCCTCTTGACATGTGTAGGTACACAGAATGTGGGTTTTCTGGCCTGCGTGGACTCGCACAACCGTAGGAAGTTCTAGTGTTCCCCAGGCCATGCAGCAGAGACTGAGAAACATGAGCATACATGCTTGCCTCTTCACATGTGTTGCCATTTTCTAGTTGTAATCTTGCCGTGGATACTTGCATAAAACTTGTCCTGCTGCATGTACATTTACATGTACTGTAGTCTACAGCTGTTCAGTGGACAGAAACCGTCACCCACGTCTTTACTAAATTAATCAATTTTAGATTGTACG